ACACACACACACACACACACACACACACACACACACACAGACACAGACACACACGCACACACTCAGACACAGACACACACACACTCACCTTGCTTCTTTTCGCAGTTAACAGCACAGCCCAGGATGAGCTGCAACATTCGGCCCAGTTCAGCTGAATCTGAATGCTCTGCGATGAGACTGACGTCTGGAAGAGTGAAGTCATTGATCTGCTGCCCCAACACCTGCAGAAGCACAGACGGACAGAGAGGAGACGGCTCAATTCAACAGAAAGAATCATATGACTATTACATAGAACAACATAGACAAGATCACACAGACAGATGCGTCTCACCTCATGGTTGTAATCCAGAATACCTTTCAATATCTTCTTTAAATTGCTGATCTGAAAAAACAAACAAACAAACAAACAAGAAAAATAAAAGTCCCTGTAAGACGAATGAACCGAACACAAGAGTGACTGCGAGCGGATGAACACCTTTAACCTCCAGTTGTCTCCAACATCAGGTTTGATACGACTGATCCACGCGTCAGTGAAATACATGCCATCTCTGAGAGAGAGACAGAGAGAGAGAGAGAGAGAGTTCCATTGAGTAGCAGCAGCAACAAGATGAGCTCCTGATTATTTTACTTTTAATATTGTTTTAAAATAAGACAGACATTCAGTTCTGACAAATTTAAAACAAAAAGACTTCATACAACTTATATTACCCACAAGAATAGTTTAAATCAACCAAGAAAAACAGCAGAAGACCCAAAGGACCACACAACTGTCACAGAGAGAAGACCTCTCTTCAGACCGAGGCCTGTATTTATCCACGGACTAAAACCTCAGAGAAACAAAGGAGGATATCAAACATCAATCTTTAACGAATAAGGAAGAGTCCCAGAAAGTACACACACACACACACACACACAGACACAGACACATACACATACACATACATATACACATACACACACACACACACATGCTCCATTCACTTCTGCTTATGCAATGACGCTGTAATCTGCATTAAGAGCTTTCAGTTCCTGGAGACCCAGCTTTCTCTCCGGTTTCCACAACGGAAAGGGTTTTTGCATTTAGGAGCTCTGGACGACAATCAAAACACAATCCGACTCAACAAACCGCTATTGTGCTGCGCAGATTTGATCACTAACATCCCAGCGTCTCACTGAACCCAGGACCAGGACAGGAAGTCCCGCCCACAGGAAGCAGAGCTGGTGTAAACAGGAAGTCGTGCGTCAGCTGTGCTGCGGTGACGTGTCGCTGATCCAAGCGTCTGACAGCAGCTCTGGGAGGAATGCGAGACGTCAGCGTGTGTTTGGGTGCGAGACGCTTCACTTCTGCTTCCTCACAGCCTGCTGTCTGCACTGCCTTGAGCTGGCCTGAATTCAGCAGTAAATCACAGCGCTGCTTCTCAGTGTTTACCCACTGAAGACACAACTCAATCTCCCACATTCATCACCACACTGCTGCTCTCTGTGTCATGAATGTTAATCAAACAACAAAACAGAGAAAAATCACTTTTGTAGCTTTAACACAGATTTAATTTATACAGTGAAGGCTGTGCAGTGTTATATTCTATATCTGACTTACCTGAAAAAAATAATGCACCGTTTATTTCATTTGTATCTTTGTTCTATTCTATTTATCTCTGCTTGTAATTTGTTTGTTTTTTAGATTATTGTTTTCAAATAGAGCTATTCAAGTCATCTGGTGATTGTTTTTTTCATATCACAAACAAAAAAAAAAATATTGCAATGTAAAGGATCAGGAGATTTCTATTTCTATTGTGTAAGTGAACTAGTGCGTTAAGAACTAGTCAGACCGGCTAGTTAGTCAACCAGTAACCAGTCAACTTCTCAGATTCTAATTAGACCGAGCTAGATCTGTGTGTAAGTGATTTAAAAAGCTTTAAGCTTTAATAGCGAACGTAGTTTGGTCCAATATGAATCAGGAAAGTAAGACTGGTTAACTCTTGACAGACTGCTAGTTAGTCAGACTAGTACTCGTGCTTTAGTACCGTGATCATCGATATATCTCACGAAGAAGCGCTGCGACAGTATCACGGTACAGCGACAACGCGGTACGGTACTCCGGTGTTTACAGTTACCGCGGTACGTTACTGAAAGATTACCGCTTTCTTGAGTCACATCTACGCGGCGCCTCGAAGAAGAACATGACAGAAGTATATAAACATCAGAACTCACCCACTTCAGGAGGCTTTCACACAGCTCGACTCGATCCAGAGTCTCCAGAGTCTCCAGCGCGCTCATCTTCTGAGCTGAGCTGTCTGATCGCGCGAGTCTCCGGTTGAAGGCGAATAAACGAGTGAAACGGAGCTTCCGGCGACGAGGGGTCCTTCAGCTGCCACCCTGCAGATCCGGACACCTACTGCCTGACGGAAAATCTCACCGCTTTGCTGAAACATGGATTTAAAACGGATACAAAAACAATATAATATATTAAATGATTATGGTAAAAAATCGCGCAAATAAGACTCGATAAAGCGAGACAGGCAATGAAACGCGCCGCTTTCAACAGTGACGCGGAGGAATGCGGAACTCTGTGCGTTTAAAATAAAAAAGGGAACAGTTTTTATAAGATATGATGAATACGCAAGAAAATGTTAATAGAGTGATAGGAATCTTATCTCGTTTTTCCTCCGAATGTAATCCTTTTGTTTGACCCACACTCCGGAGCAGAAGGCGGCGGTATCGAGCCAGTAATCCGCATATTCACCGCCGAAGAAGAAGAAGGAGGAGGCGTAGAAGAAGAAGAAAGCGAAACACACATTTATCTTTGCGAACGCGTATTTGAGGCCTGAAACTGCTGTTTATCTCATGTAAGTCACTGATATACTAATGATACTTCATATAATCTGTTCATTCTCATCTACAATCAGACGTGTAAATATAACGCTATTGTTCTCATAGTTAGTCGTGTACACACAGTATGTCGTTCTTATAGATTATCTGTGTGTAGTATTCTCATATTATCAGACATGTAGACTAACGCGCAGCTGTATTTTCAGCATCATTCCTCCAGTCTTCAGTGTCACATGATCTTCAGAAATCATAATAATATGCTGATGTGCTGCTCAATATTTGTGTGGAAACATGTATTTTATTTTTCAGGATTCACAGATGAACAGAAAGTTCAGAAGAGCAGCGTTTCTTTGAGACAGCATCATTATAAATGTGTATTCTGCCGCTTCTGATCAGTGTAATGCGCTGCTGAACGAAGTGAGAGTGTGTGTGTGTGTGTGATTATGGGCTGGAGCACATGAGCAGCTGTGATGGACTCTGCGGCTCCCGAGGAGGGCTCTCTGATTGAAGGAGTGAGTGACCCTGTCCTGCTCGTGCTGGGGCTCAGCGTCAGCTTTCTGCTCGCTATGACGACGCTGCTCTGCAGGTGAGACCCTGACCTCTGACCTCTGACCCCTGACCCCACACTCCATCAGCACACACTAACACGCCGTGCACTGTGTGCTCTCAGGAATGAGCAGCAGAGGATTCACCCGGAGAATCAGGAGCACGTGCGTGTGGTCCGAGAGCAGCTTCAGTCAGAGCAGGTTTGTGAATATTCATTGTAGTAGTGTTAGTACTGTTTAAGATGAATTAAATCTGTATGTGCTGCTGCTGCACGAGCGCCACCTGTGTTCAGAGGGTGAATCTACATCTGCTGTTTCTGTCTCGTGCAGGTGTTTAATGTAGCATAATTACACAAAGTCAGACCATTCAAACAGATTTCGAAGTTATACAGTCTAATTTAAATCGTAATCTGCGCATGCTGCGGGTATGCAGCGTCTTTGTTTGGATCGTGATTCAAATGCAGTGGTTGACACAAAGAGCACAGGTGAAGCCTATGGGAGGAGATTTTTCATTTGTATTATTTATTAAAGCAATAAGCCCCGTGAAGCCGTGGTTTACAGTGAATTTATAACCGCTAAGGTCGTGCCTAACAACGCCCCTTAGCGGTTATAAATTCACTGTAAACCACGGCTTCACGGGGCTTATTGCTTTAATAAATAATACAAATGAAAAATCTCCTCCCATAGGCTTCACCTGTGCTCTTTGTGTCAACCACTGCATTTGAATCACGATCCAAACAAAGACGCTGCATACCCGCAGCATGCGCAGATTACGATTTAAATTAGACTGTATAACTTCGAAATCTGTTTGAATGGTCTGACTTTGTGTAATTATGCTACATTAAACACCTGCACGAGACAGAAACAGAAGATG